AGGCGATGGGACTTTTAAAAAGCCCCCCTCCCCTTTTTCCCTTCTGCATTTCCCCCCCTCCCTATTTTCCTCCCCATTCTTGCAGACAGCATCTCTGATCCTTTTTTTTTTTGCAATCCTGGTTGCCTCTATTAAACTGAGATGGGATGGTGATTTGTGGTTTGGAACAAGCTTCCCTCCTTTCCAAAGAAACTAAACCAAGATTTTTGGGGGGATATGGGGAGGGCTGCATGTCTCCTTGTCTCTAATTAAAAACCAGGATCCCTCACTTTATAATAAGAGGCCATGTTATTTTTTATTTATTTATTTCGTCAAGCATGTATTAGATAACATATATTAAGTATAAACATGATTTTGGAGACATGAAATGTGTAGGAATAAAAAGAAACTGTAATTTTTTTCTCTCTCCCTTGGGTGCAAAAAATAGGATGCCTTTGCGTTTGGATTTGTATATTGTTGTACTAAGCTTTGTATGGATGCCTTTTGTCAGTTTAAAAGAAATATGAATTAAGAATGCTTAGAATTTAACTAGAAGCTGCATCGGAGATAACTGGGGAAAAAGGGGGCTGTAATTCTAAAATTTTAAAGGCTGTTAGTTTGATTTGCCAGAGCATGGTAGCAAACGTTAACAGTATAAGTAAATTTAAAAGTGTGGCTTCGGAGAATTGTGAGAGATTCTGGTTCACAGTTGTGAAACAAAGACAGGCCAGGAACATTCCTGTAAATATTCTGTTGTGTGTTTAGTAACTTAAAAAAACCCGGTGTATCTCTGAATCAGTTGGCATTGCTGTGTTTTGAATGGGGATTTAACTTTAAGCTCCCCATTGTGTTATTTATTTATTAAATGTTTATGGCGTCCATCTACCCTAAAGATTATTAAACCAGTAAAAAAAAAATTGAACATTACAAAATTAAGATTATGCAGATTGAAATATTGTTAAAAACTGTCCTAAAACTGCAACTAAGACTCCCAACTAAAACCACTACTACTAGGGAGTGTAACTTTGGAGCAGTAACTGATTTTAATCTCTTTTCTGTCCCAAGTTTTGCCTTGTTGCTTGAGGAAAGAAAAAAAAAATGAAAATACTTTTACTTTGGTTGAACATTAAGTAAAGCTTTGTTCCTCAGAATTCTGAATTGGGAGCTTTGCACTGTAATAATTTAACTAACTATATTTATAAGCTTTTATCTTCCCTCTTTTACAGAAAGCATTTTGTTTTTTTAAATGGTTCCAATTAAGTGTTGGCTGTATTGAGAAGTAGGGACCAAATGTATCACAGTCCTTGAGAAAACATGTTTTTATTTATTATGTGTTTGTTTAGAAAATGTACAATTTCTGCCTCTGGAGTTGAGATGGGCAGCACCTACATTTAATAAATAAAATAAAAACATAATAAATAAAATGTATTAATTTTTACTACTTTTATTAAAATGTATTAACTTCCAACACTGGAAGTCTTTAAGAAGATGTTGGAGAGCCATTTGTCTGAAATGAGTGTTTTCTGCCTAGGCAGGGGGTTGGACTAGAAGACCTCCAAGGTCCCTTCCAACTCTGCTATTGTACAAATAAAACGTTCATAAATAAAATAAAAACACTCACAGTTGACTCTGGGCAGCTTACAAAAATAAAACCCCAATGCAAACCCCAAGAAACTTTCCGACAAACTGGGATTGTTTTTTTTAACATTCCACAGTCAGCGAACCGAGAATGTTGATTCTGACACCATTCTTTGTCAGCTTTACCCAGACAGAATTGGCAAAGGAAGGGGGTCAGAGGCTCACTTTTTTTTTTGCAACGTGGGTTATAATTGCTCCATCCCATGATAACCTTCCCCCTCCCCCACTTTGCTGTTGAACCTCCTTCTCCAAGAAGTCTTAACGCTCACAGATCCTTGCAGGGAAAAGTTGAACCTGACGAAAGAGAATATGTGCCAAGAGTTTGCAAAATCCGACGTCTGCCATAACCCTGGATCTATTTTGCATTTTTTTTCTCCATTTTAGGAACCTTCTGTGCCCTGCGGAGCGGCGTCTAAAGAACAGCCTAATTTCCTAAGAGGAGGCGACTTATTGCCCCACCTTCCCTCCCCATCCAGCATGTTCCGACTGTTTTTCTCATGAAGCCAAAACCGCTTTCCGAAAACCGCGATGTACCAGCGTCCCGTCTTCCCTCCGGTCCTTTCCGCCTGCGGAGAAAGCTTTTGACTCCCAGATTTAAAATTCACGACGAAGCTTTCCTTGTTTTTTTTCCTTAAAATCCCTTCACCGTTGGCGTAAGGAACTCCCGTTAACCTCGCTCGGCTTTTCCCCGCGGTACCAAACCGCGGACACTCGCCGCGGGGGTTGATCTCTAAACGCATCGACTTAACTCTCCTTGGATCCCGCGCCAACCGCCGCCATGTCGGCCAGTCCCGGACCGTTCTTGGTGTGGGTCCAAGAAGTCGCCTCCTTGCTGATGCTGCGAGTGCGTCGCACGGTCCTACAGACGGCCATTTTGTTCTGCGTGCTGCTGTTACTGCTCTGGGTCTCCATTTTCCTCTACGGCAGCTTCTATTACTCCTACATGCCGACGGTCAGTTATGTCAGCCCCGTCCACTACCAATTCAGGTTAGTTTGACGGATGGGGGTTTTGTAGCAGACTGGGTTAGTAGGAGATTATAGCAATAGCCCTTAGCTGTCGACATGGGGCTGCCCTTGAAGAGCATCCGGAAGCTTCAACTGGTCCAGAATGCGGCTGCGCGGGTTGTCATGGGGGCACCCAGATACTCCCATGTTACACCCCTTTTAGGCGGTCTGCACTGGTTGCCNTGGACAGCCACTTGTCTGAAACGGTAGAGGGTCTCCTCTTGAGCAGGGGGTTAGACTAGAAGACCTCCAATGTCCCTTCTGACTCCGTTATTCTTTTTTTCCTTCCTTCCTTCCTTCCATCCATCCATCCATCCTTCCTTTTCCTTCCCAAAAAAGAAGGTTTTTAAGAAGAGATTGGACAGCCACGTGTCTCAAACAGGGTCTCCTACCTAAGCAGGGGATTAGACTAGAAGACCTACGAGGTCCCTACCGACTCGGTTATTCTTCCCCTCTCCCCACAACCTTTCCAGAGAAGGAGATGTTTTTTCCGCCTTCCTTTCTGCTCTGTGAATCGGCGTTCTCTTTATCAGATGGTGGTTGAGGCTACGAGTCCTTCCTTCTTCCGTCTCCCAAGGCCATTCACACAAGTTACGCCATCCAAAGGCACTGGGTGCTGACAGATGGGGGGAAAGCTGGCTTGCGCGAGTACCGACGGCTGGTGTCAAGCAACCCACCCCACCAGCTGTTTGGGCGAGAATTAGGATCATTTGCAATGGGTTCCCCCCCCGTGGTGGGGGTGGGTGGGGTATCAACGCCCCCCTCCCCACATCTTGCTGCTCACCGGCGCGCAAGATTTGATTCCATATGTTTTTTTCCCAGCTGCCTTTTTAAGCACTCGCCGTCGTTACTTTCGGGTTAACCGGAGTGTTTAATTGCCTGAGATTTGATTACAGGCCGTCCCTGATTAATCTTCCCCTGGTCACAGCTGGCTAATGAGGTGGAGGATTAGCATAAAAAGGAACCAGACGGCCGGGTAGCGACGGTTGGCATGGTGCCCTGCCCGGGGAGGAGAAATTCAAAACAAACGCTTGACGGAGCCCGCGAGGTCTTCTTCGCGGGCTTTTAAAAGGAGCCGATCGGTATCCACACAAAGCCGTTTTCGTTCCGAGATCAAGAGGGGGGTCTTTAAAAAGCTTAAAAACCCGTGGACTTCAACTCCCAGAATTCCCCAGCTGGCACGTCGGCAGGGGTGCCCAATCTTGGCAGGTTTTTTTTTTTTAAGATTAACAGAGATGGAAGGGACCTTGTAGGTCATCTAGTCCAACCCCCCGCCGGCCCAAGCAGGAGACCCTCGCAATTTCTGACAGTGGGCAGTCCAGTCTCTTCTTGAAAGCCTCCAGGGATGAAGCTCCCACAATTTCTGAAGGCAACTTCTGTTCCATGGTTTGATTGTTCTCCCTGTCAGGATTTCCAAGTTGAATCTCTCCTTGGTCAGTTTATTATTCCTTCTCNAATAATAATAATAATAATAATAATAATAAACTACAAAAATCCACCCTACTTGGAACAGTTTATATCCTCCAACGTTACCTTAACACTTGGTTAGTACTTGAGCTGATGAGCTACCAACCAGACATATCCGTGGCAATGTGGCCAGCATGACTCAATGCCGAAGGCGCACGGAACGCTGTTCCCTTCCCACCAAAGGTGGTCCCTATTTTTCTACTTGTATTTTTTACCTGCTTTCCAACTGCTAGGTTGGCGGAAGCTGGGACAAGTCACGGGAGCTCACTCCGTTACGTGGTGCTAGGGATTTGAACCGCCGAACCGCCGACCTTTCTGATCGACAAGCTCGGCGTCTTAGCCACTGAGCCACCACGTCCCTTATAAAGAGTATAAATAACAAGAAAACAACCCTTTTTTCCCCCCGATCGCCTCTCAAATTAGTCAAAGCGAAACGGCGTGCTTGAAAATTAAATAATGCCAAGGAAAAAGGAAAGGAAAAGGGCAGAAGGAAGATAGATATTCATTTGTGGTGTTGCAGGGAGCTGTTTTCAAGAGTTAAGACTATGGTGATTTAATTGATACAGATTTCTGTAATTCTCAATTCAATTGTATAGAACGTGAAGGATGTGCGTTTTTTTTAAAATAGTTGTCTTATGTATGATGTACACTGAAGATGGCATTTAATTTCATTGTACGAGGTGCAATGACAATAAAGTAAACGAAATGAAATGAAACTAAACTGTGTCAATATTCTGTAAAATATAAATCTGTATTTCATTGATGCAGGCATATATTTTTAAAATATTTATATTGTTCAAGTCCAAAAGCCTTTGCACTTCAAAAATATACCGGTATATTCAAAAATTGTAATATAAATATTTCTCGAAGTCCAAACCCTCTGGTGATTTCATTGAGACAGATTTCTCTAATTCTGTATCAATATTCTGCAAAATATAACTCTGTATTTCATGGATGCAGACTATGTCCTGAGGGCAGGACAAGAAGTAATGGGTGGAAATTAATCAAGGAGAGAAGCAACCTAAGAACTAAGGAGAAACTTGCTTACAGTGAGAACAATTAATCAGTGGAACAACTTGCCACTAGAAATTGTGAATGGTCCAATACTGGAAGTTTTAAAGAAGAGATTGGCTAACCATTTGTCTGAAATGATAGAGGGTTCCCAGCCTAAGGAAGGGGTTGGACTAGAAGACCTCCAAGGTCCCTTCCAACACTGTTATTCTAACATTCTAATATTTTTGAATATTCATAATTGTTGAAGTCCAAAGTTTTTCTGGCCTTCGAAAATATAAATATTCAAAAAGATAAATATTTTTGAAGTTGAAATCCTATCGAGTGGAAGATGGGATGATAATATATTGCAATCAAGCTGGGGAAAAAAATCAATTAGCTTGAAAAAGGATAGGAAGAGCAATCAACTGATAATCTTCAGGTTCACCTCCAAGACAGATAAAAAGGAATGAAAAATAATTAACTGAGGTCTTACGACCAGATGTACTTAGTCAAAAGTTTTTGTTGTTGTTCCCATTAATATTTTTGTCACCTTTCATGATGCCCCAGATCCTAGCAGGAAGGGAACTCGGTTAATTAATCCAAACGAAGAATGGATACTCCTATTGTGACGGAAACCCCACAAGAGTCGATGGAGGAATGGAAGATTAATTAGATGTATTTCATATGCATAGAAAGTAGGAAGATTGGGCAGGAGTTTGCTTTTTGGTTTTATTTATTTCGCACGGCGTGAAGGAACACAACCCGAATGCATAAAATTCACAAAAACAGCATATAAGATGGGGCGCAAATTGTAAAACCAGAACAGTGAATTCTTTTTTAAAAAAACGCCGGTATGAATGAGGAATGAAACTAAGATTAAAATTAAATTATGTACGAGGAGTTACTAGAATGGGCTA